GCCCGATTGTTTGTTCCCCGGCATTTGGTTAGAGCATTAGCACGCACACTGGAACCTCGAGCTTCGCCTCCATCGTGTACGTAAGTTGTCTTCCATACAGAGCTCGGTAGCTGGGTCGAAGCAGATGCTGACGCCCGTGCTGATGCCACCCCCTAGCCCCGAGCTCCATGTAAGTTAAACCGGCTTGTGAATCACCCGATCGTGGATTGAAGAATTTGAGACAAAATTTGACGCATCATCCTGCCAATTGCGCATCCCCTCCATGAGAAAAGCTGTATGAATCAATGGGTATGACATTATAGACTGCAGATCCTCCTCCTGTGTTGCTCACCACATGGGCCGCTGGGCTTTTCCTGCACCAAAAAGGTTCTCCATCGAAAGGTTGATTTTTCAAGGTGCGAAGTTACTCGCCTTGACCGAGTCTCGGGCTCGCGCGACTAAACTATTGCTGCAGGCCCGTAGGTGAGGAATCAATACTATAAATTGACTTTCGGCAGGGGGTGCCATACTCAGAACATTACTCCCTGCTTTATGACGCCCAGCCCCATTCCATTAATGTGGGTTCCAAAACGATTCCTGAATCTTCTTCTTCTCTTCTTCTTCTTCTGCCTGCCTGCCTGCCTGCCTGCCTCCTTCCGTCCTTCCTTCCTCCCTCCCTCCCTCCCTCCATTCATTCATTCACTCGGTTCACTCTCCCTCGTCCTTGACTCCCAGAACAGCAGCAGCAGCCCCCCTTCAGGTTTGTGTGGCCCTCGCCCTCGCCCTCGTCGCCCTCAACCGCTCCGGCTTTCGCTCGCTCCTCTACCTGGGTTGCATCTCTCTCTGTGTTGGGGACGCCCGGCCTGACTAGGATCATGGAACATTGGCCCGGGATTCAAGCCAGCGCGGGCTAAAAAGCTCGGATCGAGCTAAATTGGCATCACGCTGGTGCGATCACTGTTGGCCGATCATCTGGTGCTGCTTCGGCCCTCTGCCGGCCTGCCTGTCTGGAGCTTATTCCATACCCCCGTTCCCGACTAGTGCTGCTAAATTTGGTCTAATAATGGGCAGCAGAGTTGCTCAGACGCCAGTTGCCCTTCGAACGGGGGAGGAATTTGCAGTACCTCATGTCGTACGCCGTCTACGCGAGTGAAAACTTTTCCCCGGCGCCATTGGGTCATTGGCCCCCCAGGATTTACTTCGCCCCTGCCCTTTTGTCGTCGCTCGCTAATCATGCATCCCCATCCACAGTGCTTGTTTTAGTGGTGCCGCTGCTGCTGCTACTGCTCCATCTCCAGCTCTCGCTCTCGCTCCCGTTCGGGTCCACGCCGAGATTCTGGATTCGCGTTTGCCTTTCGCGTTTCGCGTTTCGTGCTTCGTGTTCCGCGGTGGAGCTCCGTACGGCGGACGTGTGATTCTCAGCAGAGTTCATTCGGATCAGTTCAGTTCAGAGAGTTGGGGTTGGGGGAGGGGGTTCAGGGGGGAGGGGGGTTTGAAATTTCCCTCGCAGTCGCGATCGCAGGGTTCAGGGTTCGTGGAGGAATCGAAGTGTATTGATAAGGATTCGAGTGATCATTCTCAGGTGCAACTAGGGCACAGCGTTTTGTGTCAGACCTTAAATACCCGTCGAATCGCAAACGCTTTTCGGGGGCAACTGCAACTTGGATTCTGCGTTTCGCGGGGGGGCGGGGGGCTTCCGTATCCCGCAGTCACACGCAGAGAGGAACGAAGGGGGGCACGCGAGATTCCCCGCAGAACGAGAAACGCACAAGGCGAGTGAATGAATGGGCAGCCCCAGGGATTTATCTGAGGCAGGCGAGCTGGCTCGACTCTGGCTCTGGCTGTGGTGGCGGAGTGAGGAAGAGATGGGCCTGACTGACAAAATTTCCCCACCTCTATCTCTCTCCGTCTCTCTCTCTCTCTCTGTCTGTGTCTGTATCTGTATCTGAAGCACGAGGTAAGAAGAGGAAGGGAGACAAGGAACGATGATAAATAACAAATGATGAACTCTAACTACAAGAAAGATCCGGACCGTTTACAGATCATGATAGAAAAAAGATCTCGAAGCGAAATGATTACGAGGAATTATCGAAGGATCCTAGCTTACCTGGAAAATCGTAGAAAGCAACAAAAGATCTGGCAAAGGCATCATAGCGGAGGAATTACCCATGGAACGATTCTTAACTCAGAGTCAGCCTTTCTTCGAGCATCGAGTCTATTATCAAAGGAAACAAAACCTCCACCTCCCTCGTCAGTTCACAACTTATCCGCTGGCAGTTATGAGACCGAATCGAAACTCAAACATGCTCTGGACTCTAGACCAGACACCCCCCCCCCCCCCCCCCCCCCCCCCCCCCCCCGCCCCGTTGAGCTGAGCCCAGCTCTCTGTGCCTGCCTGCCTGGACTGGAAGCCACTCAGCTTCCTTCCCGTTCGGTCGATCTAGTAGCAGTAGCAGTCGTAGTGGGGGTGGAAGTCGTAGTAGAAGTAGAAGTAGTAGTAGCAGAAGTAGTAGAAGGAGTAGGAGTAGAGGTAGATGTGTAGGACAAGTAGCAGTAGCTCTGTTGGCAAGGAATTCGTTCGGTTCCGTTCCCTCGAGGTCTCCATGCCTTTCTGTCTTAAATTCGATCCAGCATATGGTGTTCGAAAAGTCGCTTTAATTGGTTTGCCAAATTATTGAGGAGGAGGAGGAGGAGGAGGAGGAGGCGAGAAAGAACAACGAAGACGAGGATTTGGCCTCACCTGATGCAACACAGCACCCCGGGGTCTACTGGACTCAGATCTAGAAACTAGCAGCCAACTTTACGCTCTTGATGGATGGGATTGGAGCGAGGAGGCTCCGCGCAGGGGGCCTGGGGGAGACTCCTGAGGCTACGATTCAGAAAAAAGGATTACAAAAGTAGAAAGTGTTGGCAGCGTCATCTTGAAGGGAGAAAAGTAGCTGACCGATACTAGAGAGACTGCACACACACCCCCGCAAATAACGCAATTATTTCACAAAAAGACTTCTGGACCAGATGCTCTTCTGTTTTCTCAGCGTGTCCATGGAGCACGAGAGGAGATGCATGATGAGCAGGATCCCCTTGAGAATCTACTCTGCTCAGCTCAGCTCAGCTCAGACCAGACCTTCGGAAGCAACAAGTTTAACGTAAGTGGGAGTCAATAGTCGAGGGGGGTGCGTGAGTGAGTGTTTATGTGTGCAAGTGTGGGGGTGCCGGTGTGTCGACACACTGTGCGGGTGCATGCTCCAGAAGAGAATCAACGTGAATTCCATAACAAACATTGAGACCACCACCACCTAAAATGAGTTGTCATGGCAGCACAGTGCTTCTGCTGGAATATGTTATCTGTCCAGGGCTAGCTATGATCTTATGTACAGCGATCTAGTCCAAGAAAAGAAGTAGATGACCTGAAGCAGCTGCAGGATGCATGCTGCTCATGCTGATGCTGTTCCGAAGTCCCCCATTTGAATATCTAAAAGCCTGAACTCCAGATTCATATCGTCGTGATCCTCAATCGATCGGTTCATCAAACCTCCGGAAAAATTCCTGACTCGTGCACAGTGCCCACAATCAGCATCTAATGTCCCCCCTTCTTTAATTGGCCGACTCGCCCTGCACACTGCACCAGCAACTATAGCAGTGGCAACCGCCTGTCTCACTAGCGGCAACGCGAGCCAGAACACGGTCAAGGCGACCGAGTCTCCCCCCCCCCCCCCCCACTCGACATAGGTAGATAGATCAATTTATAGATAGATAGATAGACCCCGCACTGCCCCCCTCGCTCGCCATTTACTCTCTGTCCCTCTTTCTCTCTCTCTCTCACCCTCTCCCACGAGCGAGCGGAGGGGCAGAGAAATAGAAAGAGAGAGAGAGAGAGAAGAAGAAGAAGGAGTAGTAGCAGTAGTAGTAGAGGTGGCCAGTAGCTATCTAAGTATCTATCTATATATCTATCTATGAGGGGGAGTGTGTACGTGTAGGATCTATCTATCTATGTATGTAGCCAGCCATCAGAGAGGTGGATCGAAGCTGCTACATCCGAGACACAAGGGCAGCTTACAGCTAGATTCCAATACTGTATGTTCGCGGTGAGAAACCCAAAGTACACGACTACAGGGGTCCAGCCCAGCCCACCACTTGCGAAACCTGCTGTGCTGTGCGGTTCGACTCCTCCTCTTCACTTACTGCAATTATTCCATCAACCCCTTTTGATCCTTCCGCAGAATCTGCACTGTCAGGTCATGAGTTTTTCTGGCTTCTGCCTCCATCACGCTTAGCTAGTAACTGTCAGGCATCGAAAACATAGCCACACAGACTATCTGTGTCACCTCTTTGCAGAACGTCTGGGGACTCGGGTTCTCACCCCCATGCCAGTGCTCGAGTTCATCCAGTGTACGTGCGGGAAGTCAAGGGACCTTCTCGTCTTTTTGACGATTCAACAACACAACGAACAAATCTCATCCTTCCCTTCCCTTCCTTTCCTTCCTTCCTTCCTTCGACAGCGCCAGCAGCGGGCCGCACCACCAGCACCAGCAGCAGCTCAAATGCTCCCTGCCTGCCTGCCTGCTGCTGCCGCCTGCGTGCCTGCCTGCCTGGGCCTCAGTTCAGCCTGCCCGCTTGCCTGTTCTGCCTTCCTGCCACGAGGAGAAGTTGAACAGCTTGCAGGTCATGCCTATCAGCAAGCCCGAGCTTAGCATGCAGCCTTTGGACATCGATCTCTTTCTCTCTTTCTCTCTTTCCAGCGTCGGCCAATTTATGTTATAATACGCGCGCGGCCTGCGCGATCGCTTCTCGATGCCAGGCAAACAGCCACAGACCAGCCCACACACCCCACCCCCAGATACAGCCCCAGACCGACTGACTCCACACGAAAGCGCACGAGAGTCGACTCCACGACAGAGAATTGTCGTCGAGTCAAAGAGCAAGCCTTGCACGAACCACCAACAAACCAACAACGACCATGCCAACCATCGATCGAGCCATGGCCCCCGACACACACAACATCAAATGTACTAGCCGAAAAGGGGGTAGATTGATTGATAAACGTTTTCAAAAAATGATATACATGTGTTGGGATCGAACATATACATGGTATCTCGGGAAAGTCGAGCGGGCGGGCGGGCGGGCTGGCGGGCTGCTGGCGGGCAGGCGTACATTCTCGGTCTGTCTTCCCGAGGCTGGAGCATGTGCAATCGTAAAAGTGGGTCGAGAGATGCCCGGTCTATCTATATGTTCGTCCTCGACAAAATTTCTACCAGTTTGGGACTTATCAGTTAAAATGTCATATGGACCTTTTAGATGCCTTTGGTAGATCTACACCATACTGGGTTTCTATACAAATTACACCTCGAGATCTGGGGTGTGTGATCTGATCGAGGGCCTGTCAGACGTAAGAGTGCCACCGGTACCGACGTAGCCTCTTCACATTTGCGCGCACCCGTCCACAGACAAAAGAATGAGTCTTGTCCTCCTCCTAATACGACTTGAATGCTTGATTGCTTGCTTGCTTCCTATCCGCCCTCGCGCGGAATTGCTCGTGATTGATCGGTCTGTGATGTCCGATCGAGAAATTCAATGCGATGTCGATGACGACGCGCCGTGACATTCAATTCGAATTCACGCACGCTGCTGCTGCGGCTGCTCGGTTTTCCGGATCCACATCTCCTGCACATTTTCCTTGAACAGGCCCCAGGAATGCTCCGACAGCAGCATGATGTCGCCGTCCTTGTCCTTGTAGACAATGTCCAGGCCCTGGGCGAAGTCCAAATGCGTGAACTGCAGCAGCTCGCGCTTGAGCCCCTCCACGGAATGGAAATTGGCCAGGCTGATGTTGAGAAATTTCTCGGGCGACCACTGCAGATGGCATTTGACGACGGCCCCGGGAGGTCCGCTGGTGGTGTTGGCACTGGCGACGGGCTGCGGGGGCTGCTGCTGCTGCTGCTGCTTCTGATCGACTCGGCAGCCGCGAGTGTCGGTGGTCGTCGAGGTCAAGGGCAGGCCCGCGGCGCAAGCTTTGCTGCTGCCTGTGGGAGCGCCTTGCACCGGCGAGCAATGTCGCTTGGGAGACTTCTGCTCCCGGTCCTCGGCGGTCGAGGTACTGCCGCTGGGTTGCGTGCTGCTCGAGAAATGCGAGGACTCCGTGGTGAACGAGACCTGCGTCGTGGACTCGGAATGTTGAGCCAGCGAGAGCGAGGTGTCGGGCGCCCCGTCCCTCGCGTACGAATCGGCCGGACCCGAGTTCTTCAGACTCTCGAGAATTCCCACCTTGCGCTTGCGGCTGTCGCCTGCGAATTGCTGCGGCCCGGCCAGCCCCAGCGCCACCACCGTCCTCGCCCCGGCCTCCTGCAGCTCGGCCCCGGCCCCGGCAGCGCGAGCTGCGCTGCCGCTGTTCATGTTGGTCGACGACGCGAGCTGCAAATTCGAATGCGAGGCCGCGAGCCGCGTGCCCGGCGATTGCTCGCCCGCTCGGCCTCGCACAATTGACAATCCCATGAATGACGATTGCTCCTGCTGCTGCTGCTGCTGCTGCTGCTTGGCGCTAGCCGCCATCAGCACCGGAGCGGGCGACTGCCCATGCAAAGATCCTTGGAACGACGGCAGGATGCGCGCAGTGGGCAAGTGCTGCTGCTGCTGCTGCTGGAAGCTCGACTCTCCTTGATGATACGACGACGCCCTGCTCAAAGATTGCAGCTGCTGCGCGTACGTCTGCGACTTCCAGTCGTTCAGCCCCGAGACCACAGCGGATTCGCGCTCGGTGCTTCTCTGAGCGGACGACGACGACGTCTTCTCCAAGTCCACCCCGAACAGCCTCGTGCCCCCGCTCGCGCCGGCAGGGGCTGCCGACGGCGTCGAAACAGGCCCTTCCGCGAGCAGCTGCTGCGGCTTGACGACCGTAGTCGAGGCACCGACGACAGTTCGGTCCATGGCTGCCACTCCGCCGTCGGTGCGTCGCCCGAGCTCCAGCAGCGAGAAAAAGTCGTCCCCCGTCCTCGTCTGATGCGGGAGGGACACTCCACTTTCCATGTGCTGCTGCTGTTGCCTCTGCTGCTGCTGCTGCTGCTGCTGGAGGCTCGAGAAACTCGAGAGCTGCTGCGAGTGCATGTGCTGCGGGAAAGCCTGGCGCGCGTAGAGCATTTGCAGCTGCTCCCTCGATTCGAGCGACGATTGAAGGTTCTGCAAGCTGAGCTGGTGCCACACGGCCGGATTCAGGCCGCCAGCCGGGTTGGGCAATCGCGGCACCCAGGGGCGATTGCGAGCGAAATCGGAGGCCGAGGTCGACGGGCCCGGCAGCATCTGAGCGACCTGATTGTTGAGGCGCCGGCGGAAGTCAATGTAGAGCTCCTGGTTGGGCCCGCGCTCGAACGACACCGTATCGCCGGCCTCGAGCTTTTTTTCCTTGACGAAACGGCTCCAGCCTTTGGTGAACACGTAGCTCTGCGAGCTATTCCAGTACGAGTAGCGAAATCGCCAATGCTTGCCCGACACATCCTCGAACGAGAGGGTCTGGCACGGCGCATTCAAGGCCAGGTCCAGCGGGAAGCAGCGCTCGGCGTGCTGCTTGGGAATCACCAGCCGGTTCAGCTTGCCCACATCGCTCGGCGTCACGGCCTTCTCGAACAGATGCTCGCGCTGCATGGTCGGCTTGGGCGGCAGCGAGGGCGGGTCGTCGCTCTCGTTCGGCGGATTGGGCACCATGCCCGCGGGCGTCTGCGGCGAGGTGACGCGCATGCTCGCCAGGCGCTTGCTCTGCTCGAGCTCCTCCTCGTACGTGTGCCGGCGCAGCATCTCGACAATCTGCTCCTTGGAGTACTGGCGCAGGAACACGGCCTCAGGATCCGTCTCCTGCACGGGGCGAAAATTGGTCATGGCATCGCGCCCGCGGAATTTCATGGCCGCGCGGTCGTAGGCGCGAGCCGCATCCTCCTCGCGATTGAACGTGCCCAGCCACACGCGCTGGTGCTTCTCGTAAATCTGAGCGCCCCATCTGCCATTCGGCTGCGGCACCACTCCGCGGTACTGCGACGATGGCAGCTTGTTCACGCCCTCCTTCAGCACGCCTCCGCGGCTGTCCTCGCCCCCGTCCGAGCTCTCCTCGGGCGGCCCCGTGACCGCATCCCCCGACACTCCCGAGAAGCTCCTCTCGCTCGCAGCTCGCTCGTTCAGGCAGCTGCTGCTGCGAGGATTGGTCACGCACCCGGGACCCCACGCTGTGCCCGCCCACGAAGGGGGCCCTCGCTCGCCTCCCCTCTCTCCCGCTGCCGCCGACGCTGCTGCTGCTGCTGCTACTCCTACCAAGGCTGCTGCCGCTGCGTCATCCTGCGAGCAGGCGCCCAGCTCCAGGTTCATGCGCTTGTCTGAGCTCGAGCACGGAGAGCTCGAACACTCCTCGGACGCGGCGCCCTCATCCTTCACGTCCCCGGACACCTCGAGCTTGTGGCTCTGAGAGAAATTGGCCAGATTGATCCCCGAACCCGCCCCGGCTGCTGCTGCTGCTGCTGCTCCTCGTTCAGCCCATTCGACTTTGATGGGTTGACTGCTTTTTACCATCTGCTGCTGATGGAAGTGGTGGTGGTGGAGATGGTGGTGGTGCTCGCCAATCTCGAGCTTGGCCGTCTTGCGCTCCACGGTGACTAGTTCCTTGTCGTCCGAGGACGATGAGTTGACGGCGGTGTTGATGTTGATGCTGGCGTTGAGGCTCTTCATGTGCTCATGGTGGTGATGTTGTTGCTGCTGGTGTTGCTGTTGCTGCTGCTGCTGCTGTTCGGGGGGGCTGGAAGAAGAGCTGTTGTCGCAAGACCTGGTGGACGACTGCGTGGTCCTGGCGCCCGGAGCAGCTTCGTGATTTAACGTAAGACCATGTCGGTTCAGTCTCGGGCTTGTCATCTGCTGCTGCAAGCTCGCATCGGTCGTGTTCGATGTGGATGATTGTTGATCCCACACGGCGCGCAGTCTCAAAGTAACATCGGGACCGCCCTTGCCGGGGGTCGAAAGTGGTGAGCGTTGGCTTCGTAATACAGCATTGGACCACAAGTCCGCAATTTCCTTAGGATCCTGTAGGAGGACGAGGAGGAGGACGAGAGGCACCCACAATCAGCACCATCAGGCTACATACAGGCGAGGCGAGGCAAAGCAACGCGAGACAAGCACGAGACTCCTGGTCGTTAAATTTTCAAGCACGCGGTGTGTCTCTCAGAAGAAGGAGCAGAAGATTGAGAAGACGAGCAGAGGCGGCAAACGTATCGATAAGAAATGACATCGGGAGCGGCTGGCAAGGGTGGAGAATGGGCACTACGCATAGCGGCAAGCTAGACTTCTGAGACTGCTTGATTTGCTTGCAACGCTAAACATCTGACGATCCAGGCAGGCGACTCTAGCGTGGTTTGACTTCGAACACTCAACTTGAATGCGTGTGAATCATAAGCTTCTGAAATTTTTCGCAGTCGTCGACCATTGGCAAGCCATATCAATCAGTGCTTTCCTCTGTGGACAGCATATGAATGATGTTGTGACGTAAGATTGATCGTTCAGACGTCGGAAGCTAGTAGATAGATAGAGAGAGAGAGTGAAGGAGGGAGGGAGAGAGGGGGAGAGAGTGAGAGTGAGAGTGAGGAGGGAGGGAGAAAAATGGTGGAGATACGAATGGAGAAGTCTACTTACGGAGTGGAGACGGAGACACGTAACGCGAGAAGTTGCGGCGGTCATCATATTGTGTCGATGGTAGTCTAAATACACGATGAGAAGATGAGGAGGTATTGCTCATGGACAACCCTCCCATCCCTTTCGCATTACTCGATCTTCTCTCCCAGAGAACCCCCAGGCTTCTTTCATTGGGCTCTATGTCGGTCCCTCGCGCGTTATACGAGATCTACAGATGACGGAGCTGCTAGTGGAGACAAGGGCAGAAATCACAAGGATTGGTGTCGGTATCAATGATTGAATCAGAACGAGGACGCTGGCCCATCTCTCTCTCGCTCGCTCTCTCAGTCTCTCGCTCACTCAGTCTCTCTCTCGTAGGCTGCCTGCTACAGACAGAAAGGAAGTAGTTGCGAGTTCTGAATGAATGAATGAATAAATATGTGAAGACATCCTCTAACACCGAAGAAGGAGAAGATGGCCCGAGACCGGACCGGACAAGGCAAGGCGAGGCGAGGCGAGGCGAGGCGAGCGAAGGCACGGCGGCTCGCGACTCTCTATCTAACTATCCCGCTCACTCTCCCTCTCTATCTATCTCACGCTCCCTCGATGCGATGCGATGCGATGCCTCATACATATTTACCTATCCATCTCTCAGACAGACAGACAGACACGCAGGCACCCAGGCAGGCAGGCATGCGCAGACAGAAGAAGGAGATGGTGGATTGACCGATAGAGGAGGGGTTGGGTTGTGGTTGTGGAAGCGGAAGAAGCAAGTGCTTTGAGGCGTGAGAACGTCCCTCGGAAGCAAGCTAAGGAAAGCGAGACAGACAAGCTTAGCAGGCTGCACTACTGAGCAGAGCTCTCGCGAACCCAGCTCCCTCATATAGCTCATCGGACAGTGCGCGGATGCGAGCAGGAGCGGACAAGTTTTAAAATGCTGTCGCGTCGCGATCAGAGAGAGAGAGAGAGAGAGAGAGGTGGAGGGCGAGGGGGGTGGAGGGAGGGGAGGAGGGCCGGGCTGGGGTCGGGTGGAGAGCCAGCCACTGGGTGGGGGCCGGGCCCCGGGCCCGGGACACAGCCAAAAAAAGTACAAGGCCCAGAGCTGCTCTTGTGCTGAGAATGAATGAAGCCACAGCCAGCCCAGACCGAAACCCAAACCCACACCCAAGTCCAAGGGGGACACACTAATGCCACGCCAAGGGTAAAGGTAAAGTAAAGGTACGGAGGTAAGAAGCAGCGAAGTGGGCGCGACTCCTGCTAACTATGATGGGATCGCTTGTAGAGGCTCGTTGGTCTGTGCCCCAAGCAAGCAGGCGATCATAGCCAGACCCAACAAAGTGATGCCGATCGCATTGCCCTGCAGTGTGATGCGATCGCATCGCATCACATCGCATCTCACCTCATCTCACTCACTCACTCACTCACCCTGCTTCATTGCAAATCGCATCCTTCGCACCTTGCCCATTGCACAATCGCATCCAACCATCCTCATCGCACGGGCACAGAAAGAAGGCAGCAGCAGGAGAAAAAGTAAACCCGAGCGAGGCCAGCAGCAGTAAATAGATGACCAGTAAATGCGGGCCGGGATGCGATGGCGAACGGAACCTGGGTGCATACACGGCTCATGTGTACTGGAGTCAGACCCCAGATACGGGGTCGGGTGGTGCAATGCGCACTGCCTGCCATGGCAGTCAGCAGGCGACCATCGCAAGCGTATGCGTTAGTGAGTGAGTGAGTGAGTGAGTGAGAAGCATCCGGAGTCGTCCTCTACTCTAATGCAGTGCAGCGCTTGGCTTGGCTTGGCTTGCCAACCTAGCTAGCTACGGTAGCCAAGGGTGGCTGTCGTAGCTAGACCAGCAGCAGCAGCAGCAGGAGTAGCCGCTGCTGCTGCTGCTGCTCTGCAGAGAGTATCGAGTCCAGTCCTGAGGCAAAAGATACTTTGGTAAAGTCAAAATATTTCAAAGACAAGGTTTTCCAGTCCATCGCAACAGCAGCGACAGCGATCGTTGCGTTGAATGGAATGAAAAGGCTCGGGTTCGTTTTGTTTTGTTTCTCTCGAAGATTGGAATGTGCAGTCAAGCATGGTAACAAACGGCCCCCACCCTGTACGCATGGAGTTGGCATGGCAGTCAGTCAGTCAGTGAGGCAGGCAGCAGGCAAGAGGCAGGCAGGGAGGGAGGGCAGGCCAGGGCAAGGCAAGGCAAGGGCAGTCATTCGGTCAGTCTCGCTTCTGTTGTGTGAACATGGTTACTGCTGCTGGTCCAGTGCTGCTGCTACTGCTCTGTGCCCTGCCCTGCCCTGCCCATCCCCAGCCTCGCCAGACCGACCCGCAAACGATGAACATTCGGATCAACTCAACCCAGTTCTGTTCCTGGTGGTTGACTGGTCTCTCGGGTCTGGTCTTGTCTGGCCTGGCCGGGTCCTCGAGTCTTCCCTTCCCAATTTACTCTCGCCTCGCTCCCCCACACGCATCCCCGCAGCAAAACAACCACCCCTCCTCGCTGCGCAGTCACCCCCAAATTCGAGAATGTCATTGAACGAACCCCTCGGCTCCAGGTCCAGCTGCAGCAGCATATTCAAACCCCCAACAGACCTCAACAGAACCCCAACACAACACAACCACAGCACCAGCAGCAACAGCATCAGAAGCAGCAGCAGCAGCAGCAGTCGTGCTTTTCCAAGTCCCATCCCATCGAGTTCAGTCGGTCGCTGCGACGAATATTTTTCTCTTTTCTTCCGTCTCCTCTCGTCCCGTCCCATCCCGTCCCTCTTACTGATCTTCTTCCTGCTTACTTTCCCGGTCCCTCTTTTTCTGATCTTCTGCTTTTTTCTTCTCCGCCTTCTTCTTCTACTTCTTCTTCTGCGGCAGTAGCTGCTGCTGGGATTCATCCATCGCTGCATTCCATTCCTGCGGAACAGCTCCAGTCAGCCAGTCAGGCGGTCAGTCAAACATTCAGCTGTTGACCGTTCCCTTGACCGATGGGTCCTACCGCGACCCCTCCCCATGCCTGTCTCATCTGGCATGCGATCGTTCGCTTGACCAACGTGGCAGACTGCCCTTCCCTCTCATATCTGTTACCCGCGACCGTGACGTCACCGCGGGCGTCCAATTCCCATCTGCCAGCATCTCCCCGCACCATCGCACCGCCTCGCCCTCGCCTCGCCGGGCCAGCGCTGGGGCTCAGCCGCACCCGGCCGGCCCCCCCGTATCTCCACTCCCAGGGGCCGGCCAGCGCTGGGGCCTGCCTGCCGGCCTGCCTGCCTGCCGGCCTGCCCGCCCGCCTGCCTGCCCGTCCTCGGGCGTCAAGCACATTGTGCCGTCAAAGCATTGGCCCCGAGATCTCCCCATTTGCTCAGACGGATCACTGTGCCCTGGTCTGGAAACTGTCCGTGACCTCCCTGGCGGCAGCTTAACCCAGGGACGGTACAAATCTGTAGCCCCCTCCCCTCCCCGACCTTTGACCCGCGCTCCTCCGCTCGGCCCAACCGCAGTAGGATCTCGCGTAACCGGGTCGGGCTCGTCCGCGGTTGGGCAGATCGCCGGGCCTTGTCGAGAGGCCGAGAAGTGCGCGAGGCGTACAATATCTGAAGTCTCGGGGAATCTCGGGAAAGTGCTCCGACGGCCGACTCGCGAAGCCCCTCATTAATACAAAGCCCAGGCTGGGGCCCCGGCTCCGAAGGCCGGGCCAGTGTTGCACTGATCCGGACCTGGGCCCCGTATCTCCTCCTCCTCATGAGCATGCCGGTCGCGCTACCGACAGCGCCAGCGCTCCTCGCCGGAGCCGCATTCCCGGGAGCATGAAGGGTATGTCCCGACGATCGCTTCTCCGGCGGCAGGCAGGCAGGCACTCGGCCCCGGCTAACCCCAACCCCAATCATCCACAATTATTTCCCCGCGCGCCTGCACACGTGGCCTTCCACCTGCGCTGTCCGCGTGGCTGGCTGCTCGGAAAGGCCTCGCTCCATCGCCAGCGGTTGACGGTGGCAAGGCGGACTTATTATCTGCACCCCGTCGAGTTTCCGCTTAGTTTAGTGCGAGGATTATTGCAGCACAATCCGGCGAATTGCCACCGAAAAAGCCAAACATGTGATCGGCGGGGGCCGGCCATGGGCGAGAACGAGGCATTTTAGCAGGCAATAATTCTGATTACAGAGGCCGAGCTGCTGGGCGAGAAAGGGGAGAATGAGGCGAAGGCCTCGTCGCTGCGCGCACCAGATTGGAGGAAAATGCATTTCCATGGCCTCGCGCGAGGTGGAAACGTGGCGAATTATCACGAGGCCGCGGGCGAAAGATGGAAAGATGGAAAGATGCACCGCATGGGACATAGACAAAGATATTATTCCTCGGCACGGAGCGAAAAGAATTTCTTTTGCCCGCGTCCTAAACAGAGGCCTCTCTGAAGGCCTCTCTCGCGGCCGAGCCAGAAGGCGGACGCGGACGAGGTGTCGTAAAGCGGAGGCCAGCGGTCGAATAGGATACGCAAACAGCGCGAAGATTGTAATGCGCTGTTGGTGACGGAAGGAAGGAAAGCCGGTGTTCTCGGGACGGGGGAAGGCTAACGAGGTTCGTTGGTGTCTGACTGACTGATTCGCTCGCAGACAGTCCAGTCGCGTCTGACTCACAGCCTGAGCTCAGCCTCAGCTCGCGACGCTGCCGTAGGGGTTGTTGTTGCCCCGTTCTGGCGGGCGGGGGTTTTTTTCCTTTTTCCCCTTCTCCTAAACTCCATCCCTGTACGTCACGATGGGGATTCTTCCCATTTCTATGCCCAGCAGCAGCAGCAGCAGCAGAGGTTATGGTACTTACCTTGCCCTCCCTTGCCTGCCCTGACTGACTGACTCGCAGCGTGCAGTCAGTTGTTGCGGGATGATGCGTGGTTGAGTTCGAGCTGGGATGGCTTGCATCGCATTGCATTGCGCTGCATTGCGGTTGAGTTACGTGTGTGCGAGTGAGTGTGTGGGGGATGGGGGATGGGGGGTGGGGGGTGGGGTCAAGACAGGCGAGGCGCATGGTGATGTTTGTTTGTGGGTTGTGCAGATTGTTCTTTTCTGGGCTGGCTGGATGGCTGTCTTTGTCTACCTACAGTATATATCTGTCTTGATCTCTGGGTCCATCTGGAGGCTGTCTCCGGGTCCACTCTCTCTCTAATTGTTAGCGCTCAGGAGTAACCTGAATAGTAACACTCGAGGAACATTTCAAATGCAGATTTGCAGATTTGCAGGTTTGTGACATACAGAACAAGTTGTCTCCCACATACAGCCTCCAACAGGTTGCAGGTTATCGCCGAAGGGATCTTCGCCATTAGCCAGGCAATAGAAAATGATCTGGTCTGAAATATAATACTCTCGCCCGTCTCGGCTCTGTGCTTTGTGGCCTTCTTCTCCTGCTTTATAAATCTCTTTCAGTGGCCCCGGCCCCCGGAACTTTGGGTCCGAGCGTTTCAGGTGGTCGACCTCAGGCCTTTACCCCCTGCACTTTCACTTTGGCAACCCCACGGGCACACACGAATGCGCTTCCATTGTTGGCCGAATCGGTGAATTCGAGCCTCATGTAGCAAAAGCGGGCACATATGCTTCCTACCGAAATGTATGTCGGTGTCCTACCCCGTCAGCTAGTTCGTTGCCTACTCGCCAACGATCGCGAGGTCGGATGAGGATACAGCCAAGCACCAAATCTGCAAGGTGTCAAGTGGGCATGAGAATATATGTGTACACAACAATATCATGTGGTGTAATGATCACAGCAATTTAACAACCAGCCACTTCAGTATACTGTCAAATAAGAGATGATTATAACATGGTTAGACTCATTGGAAGAAAGCCGCATTAGACAACATCTTCTAGACACGTTTTTATTATCCATGAAATCATAGAGCCTTTTTTAATGTATATAAAAAGCTTCAGTAGGTCTAATCAA